AAGACATAACTTCCCATAGGGGTAAAATGGGAAAACATTAAAACAAGACAATAATAATAATAGAATACAAAATGACATCTAGAAGTAGAGGCGCTCAATCGTGGCCGTCGATCTGCAGTTTCGCCTGCGATAAACATGTCGGTAGCGTCTGTCGATGTCCTCATCAGCAAACAAACCAGAAACTCTTGATAGTTTTGCATTTATACATTCTAGTCAATCCATTGACCTTAAATACAATCTCAAATCCATAACTAGACATGAAGGGGTTGTTTAGTTGCTTGAAAAGAAAATGCAATGCATTCTGAATACTTTACACCTGTTTGGTTGTCTGCAAAATAAATGCAGGAGAATTCTTTCTCTTGCTTGGTTTGATAGATCTAGAGTAAAGTAAAATCGGTTTTTTGTAATAATTTGAAAGAAACTATGGAAACTCATGCATCCATATGTTAGTATACCTTTTTAGCACAATTTTCTTATTGCTAAATAGTTTTTGAACTTAATTATTGTTTCTTGTTTGACTAAATAGTTTATAAACTTGCTTTAGAAAGCCGGGAAAAAACTGCCCCAAATGAAGGCTAAAACTTTATTCGACTTACCAATTATTTAGTATCTATCCAACTATGTGGAAATTAACTGATCTCATGCTCCTAAAATTAGTAAAGTCTTACTCTTGGCCGAGGTCAGTGGTGCATAAATTCTTGAAAGGTCAAGACTTAAGTATAACACAGAGTGCGCGTCTAAGAAATTGTTCAAAGAACATTAGAAGAAAAATTCCTGGAAAAGCCAGAAACTTGCTTTTTGGTGGAATTTTTAACATAAGATCTTTGACTTCGTCCTTTGACATTTGCTTTCTGCTTAGCCGATCCAATTTAGAGGAATCTTTCTAAGGCTGCAACAAAAGTTTTCTACCTGCTGTATGAAAAACTTCCCCTACAATTAACACAGATGTGGCAACGGAAAAAGACATCAAACACCAATCTCATTTGATGAAGAAGAAAAGCCTTTCAAAGGAAATTCCATTCCAGAATTTCTAAATCATGGAAGCATACAAGTAATAGATGTTCACTATTACATGTATTAGATAGATATCAAACCATACAGCCAAAATACTAGAAATGAATGGTTCATCATTGTCTATGTAAAGAAAGACACATTTGATATTTGAAAATATACTTTGCTGATAAATGGCTAACTGGACTGTCAGGCAGCTGTGTGCCGATCACCCAGTTCGCAGGAAAGCCAGGGGTCTAGGATGATTATAAATAGGCAACAAAGCTGT